GAGAAGATGAGTGCACAGCTGGCTGATGCAATTGAGAGATCAGATGCTATGGGTAAGGATGTGAATAAATAGTTAGTCATACCGCTAATTGAACTCACCACCTCTCGAATGGAAGCTCGCGTCGATAACGATCGGACCAATGTGGATGCTGTTTCAGCGGAACGACTGCGAGAGTTGGAGGGTAGGGACTTTGAAGGACTACAGGGGAAAATTGACAGGTAATGGGGTAGAGGGTGGATGACTACCGCGTATTAGGCAATAGAATGCCTCATGCATTTATACAGTAGGATTAGTTCGATGCGGAGGTTCATAGTCGATGATGAAAGTTAAGGACAGTTCGTCCGCTCATGAGGCAGACTTCAGTATTATGGGAATTTGGGTATTATCATTTTTGGTTATGTCGATCTGACAAGTCCAGATCGTTGTTGCGGTTATGTTAGCCATGACAAGGCTGTGAGGGAGTTGAAGGAGAAGATAGTTGGAGTGGATCCCTCTGTGGCCAAGTTGGAGCTTCAGCAAGCGGAGTTACTTAGTAAATTCACTGTATTGGAGAATAAAGTCAGCGAAAATGGTGACGCGGTGAGGATCGTGAAGGTAATGTGGGAGGATGGGGGTTCGATCCCTGGTGGGGGCGAATTTTCGATCAATTATTATTTCCTCACGTAGACGAGTTGGGAGGGCACTGTGAAGCCCACGGTAGAAGAGCTGAATGGGAAAGTGAAGGAGTTGACTTCGACGGTGAATGGTGTAGTGGAAGATGTTGAACATGTTAGAAAGGATATCAATCAGAAGGTGATGCGGGAGGTCCCGGGTTCGATTCCTGGAGGGGGCATTTTGTGATATAATTATGAAGCATTATGGCATGTGGAAGGATGATGATCGACAGGATTTTGGTATCTTGTGCATGCGTGCAAATTTTGCAGTATGGAGATTCCCTGTGGTCGGAGATTCGAAGTGCAGTGGAGCGAGTCAGCAAGAAGGAGTTCAAAGAGGTAGAGCAGCGGATTGAATTAAATAGTGCAAAATGGTGAGCCCTGGGGTTCGAACCGGGGTCCTTTGGATTACCCACTCACAGGCACGAGAGATCGAAGCAGTTGTTGACATATACTAGGGATCATATATTAACTGCAGGTACCGAGGATCGATCCCGGGACCTTTGGATTACCAGTAGTGTTTTTCTTGTAGTCGCTTGCGAGTTCCATCAGCGCGGACTGCAGCATCATGTGTTTTCGCTTTGGTTTCAATCGCAGTGGCAGGCAATACGCAGAAGGGCGGCTCTGAGGAAGGTTGGCAAGGTGAGGAAAAACGTCGCGCGCCACGAAATTAGAGGGATGTGTTGTAGATCTTCCATGATCATCAGCGAGCTGCATTGAGGCGATGGCGACAGAAGGCGGAGTTTGAGGGATTGCGAGATGGTGTGGAAGTGGAGGTGAGTTGTGGGTGGAGTGGTATGGGATTGGGTGGAATATTTAGGTGAGCGGAGCGAAGCAGGAAGTGGTAAATTTGATCAAGCATGATGTGGCGACTTTGAAGGAGTCTGTGGAGGAAGGGATGAAGTTGAAGGTTGATCGAGAGGAGGTTGAGCTGAGGGAAAGAGGTGGGAAAAGGACTGGGTTCGGGTTTCGTAGTTTATATCGGAGTTTCGCCCGTGATATGGTGAACGCTCGTGGAAAATATTTCACAACTCACATATGAGCAGTGAATAACACGTGGCGTGTTTTACGTGATACGGGGTCATTTTTTCGGTATTATTCGTAAAGTGTTTTCACTCTATATCGCGTTTTTCACATGGAGTATTACACCACCTCACGTAAACGGGTGAGACGCCATTCCATTTTGCATCTTATTTTTATATTGGAGTTTCACGACTGCCCGTTTTACGTGAAGTGACGTCATAATACTCTGTGAAAAACACGATATTCGCGGTGATATGCAGTAGTCGTGGAATATATTCTGCACCTAATAAGTACAACTCCACTGCTTTCGAGTCTTCAGACATTTTCGATGTTCATCAGATACCCTACAGCCATTGGAAGCACGCGTGGTAGAGGTGGAGGAATTGATCCGAAATATGTCTAAGGAGTCACCACCTGATGATGGTATGGGGTTTGCCGGAGTATCGAGTTCAGATGGTAGCAGTAGAGCTACTAGCCCGAGGGAGGTGATAGAAGGAAAGTTGAGTGAGGTGATGAGTGAGCGTTGAGGAAATGCAAGATTGCAAGATTTCTCAAGTTGGTTAGTTGAGAGATGGGCTGGAGGCGGCGTTTGAGGCGGTGAGGGAAGTGAGGGAGGTGTGGATGCCGAAGGAGTTTGCGACGAAGGAAATGGTGCTACAGTGTACTAGAGGTAATCTTTTTATGGGGGGAAATTTTTTTACAGTGGGAAAGTATGCCCATGGTCAACTATAAGGAAATTTTGGGAAATTCTTGTTGGTTGCTGAACAGTTCTATTCGAGTTTGTGTGTAAATTTTCTGAGCTCAGCTGAAGAATTTAGTGAGAATTTATTTCTCCAACACTGGAAGAAACAATTCAGATGCGCTCGAATTGCATAAATTGTATCAACAATTGGAGGCGACTAAGGCGGACAGGGCGGAGATGGACGGCACGGTTTTGGAGACCCAGAATCATTTGAGGCAACTGGGTAGGGGAAGGATCTTAGGTTGATGCAGCGTTGGAATTTTAGTCTCTTGGAATTGGAGCGAGTAGAGTAAATGGTGTAGTGGATAGTGCGCGAGTCGTTGGAGGTTGTGGGCATTTACACGCACGAGTTCGATCCCTGGGAGGGGTTGCCAATTTAATATTCATGTGGATGGTTATATACTTTATGTTGATGTCAGATGCATCTATTGGGGGTAAGGTGGAGTTGCTCACGACTCAGTTGAGGGAGGTGGAGGAGAAGGCACGCAAGTTGGAGGGATGGTAAGGAGGGGGATAGAAAACCTGATGAAATTGTGGTAGACGGATGGGAAAAAGTAATTTATTCTCGGAATTTTACCGATTTTTTTACATGAGGATTTTTGACTTGAAAGCTTTTAACGCTTGGGCTATATCTTATTACGTGACTCTCAGCGTTGATACGAAAATTAGATCGATTTCATTATTGCTTCGCTCCGCTAGGATCTTTGATTTTTTTCGTTCAGTTATGCAACAACGGAAACGAGTTTGGGTGAGCAGAAAGAGGCGATGGCGAAGCTGAATGATACATTGACGAAGTTGGCCGAGTTCACACAGGACCTCATAGATCGGTTCGTTGGAGAGGGGAGTAGGAGTATCTTCTGTGTGCATGCGTGCAGATTATCATTATGAGTAGGTTCGAACGATAATGAAGGCCCGTCTAGTTTGAGCTACATGGTTCGTACTGGTGGAGGTTTTGAACCGAGGCATTTTGTCACTCTTGGAGTGAGTTTGTCAAATCGATCATCAGGGCGCGCGCTTTTGTAGTGCGCGTGTAGGCTAGTGGACAAGAAGAACCAGTCTTTAGTATTCCGGGAGTGGATGGTGGAGAGTCGCGGATTGATCGGTGGGGAAAAGTGTCGCTAGGTGGATTTGAACCGGGGACCTCTAGGTATCTAAAGCACGCGAGGAATGTGATCGAACGAGCTGCGTCGGCATCTAGTTCGCGTATGAGGAGTTCAAGTGGAGGTAAGTGATTGAATAATTTCGTGGCGCGTGACGGTTCGGAACCTCTGGAATTGATTTTTTGGGTGGAATTCGGCCTTCGAATAAGTCGGTGTATTCAACAGACCTCTCCTCAGCTTCAAGAGCTCTGCCAGGATTTGATTGCACGTCTAAAAGTCGATCTCGGCAGCGCTGTTGAAACTGAGTAAAGGCTTTCTGAACAATTAAATATCCAATGTTTGTCGCGCGAGATGGTTGATACAGTAATATATATATATAGTGATAATATGTAATTTAGTAGTAGATGATCCATATAAGGGAGTTTCACCACCCTAGTGATATGAAAAACACTAGTGAAAAACATATTTCACGACTATTGCATACCGCGAATATCGCGTTTTTGACCGAGTTTTACGCCACTTCACGTAAAACGGGTGAAACTTCAGTGTAATATGGATATTAATATATATGTACTATGTGTAAAATTGTTCGTCACGCGCCACGAAATTAGTGTGCGTGACGGGATGGAAGCGATTAGGTCGAACGAGGTCAAGGTCTCGAGTATTCCGCACGCCTCCATCAGGAGGGAATATTCGGGAGTTGATACAGCCGGCTGGGGCAGCGGTGACGACTCCGGTGAGGGAGGTTGTGGGTTCGATCCCCGCATGATGCATTTTTTCATCAGGTTGGGCGGTATATTAGGGGGGTTGGATTCGTCCATACCAATTGACGTTGTTTTACATGTATATTATCCTTCCTGTTGTTGTTGTTGCTTTATGGAGGCTTGTGTTGGGGGTTTGTCTATGGTGTCTCATCCTAGTGGTTGGAGGTACTTCAGGGAGGGATGGTATGCATCTGTGAGACTCGCTTGTAGACTGGGATTTCTCCACGCCTATGAATGCATGAGGTTTTCCTCAAGCTCATTACGAGCAGTGTGGGAAAACATATACACAATATATGTGTTTGTGAAAATATTGTGAGGGAGTTTTGGGGAATTTGTATTGGTTTTTGTAAAGTATAAGTCGTATTAGGTATGGTACCTAACCCTAGCAATTTACTTTCATTAAGAGAGCAATTCCAGTATAGGTCTGTTACCAGGATAACAACGATGCATAATAAGGTATGAGACTAGCTGACCGTCACATTCCCGGTTCTTGTAAAGTATAAGTCGTATTTTTTCTACCCTGGGTGGTGTGGGAATATTTCCGAGCTCAGCTGAGTAAAGCAGAGATATATTCCTCGAACACTGGTCAGTATGATTATCTGATTTGTACATAAGTCTTCTCACTCGAACTCGATTGAGAAAAACCTGCCTGAGAATTTTGAAAATTCTCAGGCAGATATTTTTCCATGAAAAAAACGAAAATTGAAAATTCAATTTTCGTTGTAAAGTTTATATTTCTGTAGTGTATGTTAGCTTCACGCGAGTATGACATGCATTTTTAAAGATATTTTTAGTTGATATTTTGATGTCCCTCAGTGGTAGCCAAGATGAAGTCCGGCGAGAGTTAATGGCTAGAACGTACGAGGAGATCTGATGAAAAAGTGATATTTGTGGAATAAAGAGGGCATTTTTGTTTTACCAGTTTTTCATCAGAATTCACCGTTGTGATTCCTCAGGAGGTCTCGGACGATGATACGGATCCAACTGGTAGGTACTGAGGGAATTTTGGAATTTTGAGAAAAAAAATAAAAAATTATGTATCGTGTCGGGCGAATCTTTTTATATTCGTGGTTAGATGCATTCGGGTTTGGGTTTGATGCCGCGGCGTTGGAATATATATTCGCTTTCCTCACCTGAGTTGGTGAGTTTTCTAAGTGACTATACAAGGATATGTACGAGTTCGGGTAGACAGAAACCAATAAGAATCCTCTCGCAGTTTTAATATTGTCACCAACACATGTAGTTGATCATGTGCATGTTTTCCCATACTGGTTTGGTATGATGGAGTTTCACCCGTGATATGAAAAACACTAGTTGTGAAGCGAGCGGAGCATATACCACAAGAACAGGCACTTTCGCGTTGTGCGTGCGTGCAGAATTATTTTAACGTTTTAGGTTGTGCATTGAAAGATATGTTTTAGGTTGGATGCTGTGGCCCGCGGCTCGATGCTTCGCTGATTATTTGTCGCTGCGCCCGGAAATTGTTCGTGGGAAGGATGCCTTGGAGCTCGGCAGCGGTAATTAGGGACAATCGATCACCAGAGCGCGCGCTAAATGCATCAGCGATAGGTACTGGTTTCGCGGGAATAGTGAGTTATATGATGGGTGCGAAGTCAGTGACTTTGACGGACCTTCCGGAAGGGCTAGAACGGTTACATGAGAGTTGTCGGTGTAACGGCGTTGAGGAAATTCAAGTGGGAGCAAGATTGCAAGATTTTCTCTCCGAGCTTTGCTGTTCGTAGGTGTGTGCTTGTCCTTGGGGAGATATGAAGGCGGTTGAAGACCTACCTGAGAAGCAGTATGATGTGGTGCTCTGTTGTGAGGTAGAAGGGAATTTCATGGCGCGCGGTACAATGTGGGTACATGGGCATTTTCTGTGTATTAGTTGGTTTTAGTCATTTCTCTACCAGTTGATCTGTCGAGATACAGACCGTTCGGTAGGGTCAAGAATATGAAAATACTCTCATGAACATCCTTGTATTGGCAAAAAGTGTTAATAAAAGAAAAATGCCGATGCTGGGAATAGAATCCGCGACCGTTTAAAATGATATTCGTCTCGAAGGTCTAGTAGTATACGTGACGCGGTTCTCGGATTTGCGTTCGTCTGATAATTGTAGTCGTGAAAGTTGCATAAAATTGTTATTCAGGTGTTGTATAAGCAGGGCGAGGAAGTGTATGAAGCTTTGATGAAGACTATTAAGGAGACTGTCAAGCCTGGAGGGAAGATCCTTGTGGTAATAACAGGAGAGAATTTCGTGGCGCAGTGACGGAAATCCCACGGCGTATCATCGTGGGGCTGTCGTCTGTTATTTGTTTTCAGTGCTTTTACGATCGACACGTATCAATGAAATTTCGAGATTGTTGAAACCGAATCGAGGAGGAATTTTTTGTTTTTTTCTGAGGAAAATTTTGGGGAATTTTTGATTTTCGTGCGCTTGAGGTATACGAGTATAGAGGGTCGATGTTGGAAGATCAATCCATGTTTGATATGCTCTTTGAGGAGTATCCTGAGGGGCATATGGAGGTGTTGGAGGAAGGAGATGAGGATGAGGAGGATGCTGAGAGACGACTGTTGTAATAATGGAGGGTGTGGGAATTGATCTCGGGACCTATAGGTGGTGAACCTAGTGCTCTACGGTTCAGATATATATTCCCTGTTCCTAAGAAGAAGATGAAGTGATGAATGTTGACTTCAACGAACGTATATTGGTTTCTCTGCGATGTAGAGATTACATTTAATGACCGTTGAGTTGGGATCTTGCAATCTTGGCATTTCTTGCATTTCCTCAACGCAGTTTCCTACTGTCTTTGCTCTCTGTTTTTGCTATGTCGTCAGTAGCCAGGGAAAGCCTTCCTGCATTGAGCGCTAATTTGACCGTACTCCAATCTAGGATTAGAGGGATGCTTTTGGGCGCTGTTGTTGGAGATTGCTTCGGCACGAGGTGAGGTTTTGGACCTATTCCGTATCTTGCGCGCTCAACCTGTAGATTCTGTGATGTCGGTATGGATGCGTTACCGATGGCGGAGGTCGCCGAGATGATTTCGTATCGAGCTATGGCTCCGTCTTTGGCGAAGCTCTCTGGGAATCAATGGTTATTCAGACTCTCATGTAACGGTTATATGGTAAGGATTTGGGCCTGTTTTGAATCTTATGTGGTCGAACCTTAGATGCTGAAAGCGACTGAGAATGTTCTTGACGGTGGAGATAGTGCAGTTCTTCGGCAGAGTTTTGTGGATTTGATTAACGACCCCAGCATGAATCACCTCAAGTGGGGAGCTGGGATAGGTTCGGTAAGAAGATGGTCATAATCGATCACGTGATCGATTTGGTCACAGGTGTTGCTTGGTGATGCTCCTAAATCGAACACACTACGTGGCAACACTGTTATGATGAGAAGCTTACCAGCGGCGCTCTTCCCTGAGGGCGAATATGAGAGGATCTTTGAGCAAGTGAGTGAAATCTTCGCTGTGCGTAGTTGTTGGCGATGTGATAAGATATGCATGCACATGGTCAAGTACGTGTGATGGTGATGATGTAAAAATTTTTGAGGAAAATTTGTAAAGTTTTCGTTGGTTTCTGTACATATCTACTCGAATTGGTATGCAACGTGTGAATTCGGAAAACGAATATATACTCGAGCAGTGGTTGATATTTTTGTAAATGATGGGGAAAAAGTTTTCTATTCCGTAATTTTCATATTTTTTTTGTTTTTTTAACATCGAAACTGTGTCGCTGTGGAAGAATCGTGAATTGGTTGAGAATCCTTTTCTTTGTTGGTACCTCGTAGGGCAAGGAAAATATCTTCTCGGTATTGTTGTTGTTTTCAGATGGCCGAAGCCGTTCCTGTTCAAGAGGTTGCCAAGGCTCGAGCAAAGTGCTTAGTCGATGTTGCGCGCAATTCATTGGAGACGGGCGTGTGTGATTTGTCGTTGATCAAAGATTCTCGGTAAGGAGCACGCGTGCACTTATGTAGTGTCCGTGTTTGGACCTATTTCGTATCTTTCTCTCTGTAGTGTCCGTGTTTGGACCTATTTCGTATCTTTTTCTCTGTAGTGTCCGTGTTTGGACCTATTTCGTATCTTTCTCTCTGTAGTGTCCGTGTTTGGACCTATTTCGTATCTTTTTCTCTGTAGTGTCCGTGTTTGGACCTATTTCGTATCTTTTTCTCTGTAGTGTCCGTGTTTGGACCTATCTCGTATCTTTCTCTCTGTAGTGTCCGTGTTTGGACCTATTTCGTATCTTTCTCTCGGTAGTGTTCGTGTTAGGACCTATTTCGTATCTTTTTCTCGGTAGTGTCCGTGTTTGGACCTATTTCGTATCTTTCTCTCTGTAGTGTCCGTGTTTGGACCTATTTCGTATCTTTTTCTCGGTAGTGTCCGTGTTTGGACCTATTTCGTATCTTTCTCTCTGTAGTGTCCGTGTTTGGACCTATTTCGTATCTTTGTTTCAGGACGATATCTGCGCTTCAATTAGCGACGCCGGCTAGTTATGACGAGGTGTCTATGGATATCCAGAGAAGGCTTGCTGCTAGAGTAGGAGTTAATTTTGTGGCGCGTGACGTTTTGGGAATCTTCACTGTGCGTTGGTCAGGTTGGTCATGATTCGATGGCTAGCACGACCTTACCAGTGGTTGCATTCGCCATCAAACAGGGCTTGGTCGGAGGAGAGGTCCATAGCAATGACGAGTAATACCATCTTTTGGGATTTTCGGGCGAGCGAGATTTACTCGATGTGGTGAGGGGTAACTGTGGTTTTTGGTGAAGCTCGGAATGAATTTTAGGAAAAACATTTGGGATCGTTTGTTGGGTGGAAAATCAATTTTGAACACTCAGTGTGTGTGATTGCGGTGAAAAGTTTTTGTCGCGCGCCACGAAATTGGGTATGTGATTTTTCCTTCAGGGATACTGAATTGGGCGGAGCGTCTTTGGATCCGTCGATGTTCTCAGCCAACATACTTAACATGAGCAACAGGATAGACTTCGCTGAACAGTTCTATGACGAGACCGATAATGCTAGCCCGACATTTGGTCAAAACGGTAAGCTTCCCGTCTTCCATTGCATAGGTCCCGGGTTCGATCCTTGGTGATTGTATCTATTCAGAGATGCATATGATCTTGAGCTGGGCTATCAGTTGTGGTGGCGACACCCGAGCCAATGCATGCCTGGCCGGTGCATTAGCAGGAGCGACGTGAGTTCAACGGGGTGGAACTATTACGGAAATTCAACAAGATCTTGTATTGTAGCAAAATCCAGAAAATTTTGTTTTTTCCATAGTAAATTTTCCGAAAAAATAGGTGTATATTTTCCCCCGTCACTGTGGGAGTTATTATCATCTTAGGTATGGTGTCGAGCAAATTCCCCACGAGTGGAGAGTTACATGTGAAGGCACTAAAGTGGCTCTCAGCGTGGCCGATAGAGTCTTCGAGGAAGTTTATCTCGCTAATCCCGTATTGGCCGAATCGATCGCGCGATCGATTTCGATCCCAACTCGCCCAGCTGCACCCCAGTAAACTGTGACATACCCCTGTTTATCGTTCCTTGTAGTTTTCCTACAATGTCGTCTACAATTGCGATGCTCGAAAATCTTCACTGTGCGCAAAGATATCTCTATAGAGGATATCAGCGTGAGCATCTACCAGCTGTAGGAATATGTAATTTTGTGGCTCAGCGGTTTTGGTGACACTCGCGTGTCACGTTAGTCATCATCACTGCTGAATTTTCCGTGCATTTGTTTTCTTTTTGTTGTTAATGTGGGATGGTTTAGCGGAGCGAAGTTTTTTTGTAGCATTTTTATCGCTCCTCAATGAACGAGTACGATTTTGTTTACACCAAGCTTCGTAAGGAATTCGGGAAGTGGGTTAGCGGAGCGAAGTGATTCATGATTGACATTTTTGTTTTCGTAGGTATTGCGCCTTCGGTGATACTGATCCGAAAGTGTTAGGAAATGTGGAGGCAAAATCAGAGGCTATGGGGAATTTCAGGTAAGATCTTGCGATCTTGCATTTCCTCAACGGAGGAATATCTTGATGTCCCGAGTGTAAGATACGGAATAGGTCCGGCTTGTCAGGTATAAGAATCCGTGCACGCTGACGTTTGATAATAGGCAGGTGATGTCCGAACATTCAGCCAACACTGATACAGTGAAGACTGGCAATAAAGGACAGGTGGGGACAAGGGGATATAATATACTGGGTCTTCGTAGTAGTCCACGTCTATTGATTCGACCAATGAATTTGACATAGGTTCCCGGTTCGATCCCCGGGTAGGACATTTTTCCGTCATTAAAGGTTTTTATGCATATCTCTTCGAGCTGTTCGCATAATCGAGTTTCCAGATTTTTGCCTACACCTCGGCATTTAGATGAGTCGTTTGATCTATCTGCATTCTGCGAAGCGTAGGAGACCACCAGATAGTATCTGGTGGCCTTCTACGCTTCGTAGTTAAGCCAGAATAGTTCTGCACGCACGCACAACGCGAAAGTTCCTGTTGTTGCGGTATGTGCTCCGCTCGCTCCGCAATTAATATTATGTATATAAATAGCATATTGTTTGTTATCAGATCATTGGAGTTTCATCCTAGTGATATGAAAAACACTAGTGAAAAATATATTTCACGACTACTGCATATCACCGCGAATATCGCGTTTTTCACAGAATTTTACGCCACTTCACGTAAAACGGGTAGTCGTGAAACTCTATTGCATTTCTATTTATCTTATTGTAATAGGTTAACTAATATCGGCATGATGAATTTTGTGGCGCGTGACGGTTGTTTCTGAGAAAAATTCGAGAATCGCTGAGAAATTGGGTTGAAGTTTATAGATTGTTGTTTACTTTGTTCGGTGTATAACATGATGGTGGTAGAGGAAAGCGTCCAGGTTCGATCCCGGGATGCTGCATTTTCTTCTGATCGAACTCTTTAGTCAGCGGCGATATAGTTCTTTGTAGCGTTGTTTCACGAGTGGTTGGTATCAATGAGTTATTTACGCATAGGAAACGCGATTTTTCACCCAGACTAAAACGTTTGGATTATGCCAGGTTTTTGAATACGCTTTGAAGTAGGTTCATGTGGAGGGCGGTTGGCCTAAGGAAGTAGACTGCAGTGAAGCACAGGATACCGCAAAGTGAGTGATAAATTCGCTAAATCGATCACGTGATCGATTTTGATTTACGTTGAATATCTGCTCGGGAGGAATGCATGTATCGATTTTTTTGGATACCTACTTTACTGTATCACCTTAGGTGGAGGAAGAGGCTGGACAAAGACCCCCAGTTTGGTGCTGCGATGAGATCTCTATGTGGGGAGGCGGAGCAATGCATTTCCCAGAACTGTGAGTGACAATCTCGCTCGCCCGAAATTGATTCTTGTTACTTGCGTAGTGAATGCAATTTTGTGAAGTGATATACATAATTGTGAATATTTGTCGGAAGATCTGAAAATTTTTAAGAATTTTAAATACGTCGTATCGTGTTTGGAGGTGATTTTGTCGTAGGTACGATTGATCTTTTTGAGGACTACTTCGCGGGGGAGGAGGTGCAACATCAGATGCAGAAAATGTCGGCCAGTACTGTTGCAGTTTTCCGGGATCAAAGTAGGGTCGTCGTGAAATCGATCGCGTGATCGATTTGTGTTTAGGTGAGGAAGAGTATGGTAGGTCGGTGTCGAAAATATCTTGGCACCCGGATGGAGGTCACAGGTTTGTGGCGAGCTATTCAGTGAGAATATCTTTGCGCATGCGTGCAAGGTAAATGTTAGGTTATGCAATTCCAAAAACTGGAAGACCCTCTTGAAAGATCATCGTATATTTGGGAAGTGAGTGTATCGAAATCGATCTCGAAAAAAAATATTTTTTGTGTTAGGTTGAGAACCCCAACTATCCTGTTAGTGAGCTGCTGCCTCCATCGCCGCTCATTTGCACTCAGGTGAGTGAATTTTGTGGCGCGTGAAATATCTGGGCGCCTGTTCCTTACAGTAGAGACGTATATGAGTTATTCTAATTCTGAAAATTAGATTCTGCTGTGTGAGAGCCTTTCGGGTGTGGGAAAACAGTACCAATCGGAAAATGAGTGTCATCTTACTTGATAAATCAGTGGCTTTTATAATCGCTTGATTCGTTTTAGTATCAAACGAGAAACCCAGACACGCTGGCTGGCGGGGCGTATGATGGTTTGGTCTTTTTCTTCGATGTTCGACAGGTGAGTTACCTCTCATATCACAACAATTTTTTGATTACAAATTGGTGTGGAGGAGTAACATCGGTGGGATGAGGGTATCGTGGCATTGGATTAGTCGCATTGTTATATGGGAAATTGCAAGGGCATGAGTGGGTGTAGAAAAGTCGATTTGATCCTATCCGAGACTCATAGTTCACCCGGGCTGATCGATGGAATCATTTACATGCATGTATCAAAGCCTCAAGCCTCATAAATTCATCATCACGAATGGGAGATGAGAACAGATGAAGATGTGTTTGTTGATGGTTTGGTCGGCACGGGGTTCGTGTTAGGGATCGAAGCCTGTTGGGAAGTCCTCATTCGAACAGTCACATCATGACCCGGTCTATGACTTGGTTTGGCTGCAGTCGAAGACCAACAGTAATTCTGGTGTAGTCGTGAGGTGTCTGTGCCGTTATGAGAGAGGTCGGGGGTTCGATCCCTGGTAAGTGTGTTTTTCTCAGGCGAGTGCGCTACTACTTCTACCGATGGTAGAGTCTTATGGTGGGACACACGTAATCTATTGGAACCCATCGATGAGATCATTCTCACTGATGGGAATCGGGAGAACCCCAAACAACTGGGTGAGATGATGAGAGTCTACTGCGTTGGTCGTTAGCATCATTCCTGATTTTCTAACAAAAGCTAGTCTCAATCGTGTATATGCTCAGAGGCGAAAAACAGTGCGAGAAAATATGCACATGGTCAACTACATGTGTTGGTGACGATAGGAAATTTATAATGGTTTGTGTACACTTCTACCCGAATTCGTATATAAACTACTACAATTAGTGAGGTGAACTGCTGATCTAAGTTGAGGAAAGCGAACGTATATTCCTCCAACACTTTTTGTCACAAAAACCTGTCTCGTGTAGGCATTACTTTCTAATGTCAATGACATTTTTATGTCAGGTGGATGCTGTTTGGAATGGCAACAGGAAGCTGGACCGACTAAGTACTTGGTTGGCACTGAACAAGGCGCGTGCATCGCACTGAATAAGAAACCGAAGAAACCAGTGGAAATCGGTGAGGTTAACTCCGTGGCACAGTGAAGGTCATTTGTGACTTGATTTTTCCTCGCAAAAGGCTCTTCAGGACTCCAGATTTCTGAGCGGAGCGAAGCACTGAATTTTTTTCAGGGACATGGTTTGGTATTGAGGAAAAAGGAGGTCACTCGAAGCATGCCGGGCCGGTGTATTCACTACATCGCAATCCTCAACATGTCAAGTACTTCATGACGGTTGGCGACTGGAGTGTGAAAATATGGCTAGAGGTGAGGGGCTGGGAAGGCGGAGCGAAGCGGTTTTTAGTGTGCATTTTGGGGCAGGAGTTGAAAGCACCGCTAATGCAAACGAAGCCTTCACCGTCTTTCTTGACAACTGGGGGTTGGAGTCCTACGAGAGCTGGGCTGTTTATAGCTGGCCGTTACGATGGGTAGGATGTGGGGGAGGAGTTGTATGAATTTTCTACACGCATGCGCATTCAGGTATGTCGACTTCTGGGACTACTACTACCGGATGAATGAAGTGTGCTTTTCTCACCGAGTGAGCTTAGTCTAGCGGAGCGAAGCGATTTTCCTTATTGTTGCTCGTATCAGGTGAGTAAGGCGCCGGTCTCTACTACAGCCTTCCAATCCAATGGAGGCCTTCTGGCGGTCGGCGATGCTGATGGGACGGTGTCGCTACTCCAGCTGTGTGATGAACTGGTCCATCCTGTGCCCAATGAGAAGAATGTGAGTATCTTAGCTTCATCCATGGAAGATACAAAATAGGTCCACTTTAGGCCGTTGCGATGATATTCGAACGCGAGATGAGGCGAGAGAAAAACCTAGAAGCCATCAAGAAGGCCCAGGCGGGCAAAAGTATACAAACCCGTCGGAATTCACAACCAGCCTATCCATGTGTTCCTCTTCAGCTTCCAGGCCCGATGATGATGACCATGACCATCATGCAGTCGAGGAAACAGGTGAGATAGGATTTCGTTGCTTTTCACAAGGGTTTCCTCGTTCAGATGCTGCTGACGAGGCTCCTGCTCAGATTGATCAAGAGGAGTAGGCCTTCTACTGGTGTTCATTGCGTTGAAGAGTCATGGTAGGTATATGAACAGGGAGAAGGCTTGGCTTGAGGAAGTTGGAGTGAAGGCTGATACGATGACGATGGGAGATAAGTAGAGTCGATGTGTCCATGCCATAGACAGGGCTTGTTGATAGTGGAAAAAGCGACTTGCGTTAAAAGTGGAGTTTATGAAACTATGACGATATCAAATGAATAACAGAAATCAAAGGACCACTGTGCATCAGCACAGCTCCAGTGGTTGTGGCCACACATCTAAAGGGTAATGATAGTTCAATAGGCAACAACTGGGACTAATAATGAACTGCAGCGATGACTTCCCCCACGGACGCCTCAACAGGATGACTCATCCTAGATCATTGACGATAGAGACACCTCAATTCTTTTCCGGCATTCCTATCCAACCCTGAGGGAAGGATACTCCCAATTGAACGAGTACATACCAATCGGCAGCAATCAGAATCCATTTCCAAGTATCGTGCCATGAACGATGGCTCACTCGTGATGAAGCTCGGGTTTTGATCAGAGATGGATCAATAATAATTAATAGCATCCCTTCGTTTGTTGGGATGTGAAGAGTGAAGGCTGGCCTAACTCCTGACAGACGTGGACAGTAACGCCCTGTACGTTTCTCACAGAGAGTCTCGGAGGAAAGAACTCCCCCGTTGAGTAGCTCTCCATGTGAGACCACCTCATGTGATCTTCGAATCGAGATTTACATCGTGTCACTCCGTGAACTCAGAGATGAAGAGCATGAATCTGTTGTTGAACAGGCGACTACCTGGTTGAGCTGGGAGGTTCAGACCTTGCCAGACCAGACCAGAGCTCCACTTTGCCATAGTTTCTGCGATATTTCACGTTTTCCATGTGAGTAGTTTTTAGTCATTATCGGGTTGGGGCGTGTTTTATACTATCAACACTGCCAACATTAATTTACCGAGCAAAGCATTCGATATCATGCTACATTACTGATATCGTCGCAGTTAAAGTCAATTATATCAACTACTATTATCTATCCCGCCGAGGACGCTTAGCACGAGGCGGGTCAACGTGACTGACTGCGGCACCGACGACCGGTTTCGGTGTTATCAGCGTGCATTCGCCTGAGTGGATCGGCACTTCCTGAAGCTATCAGAGGCAAATTGAATTCACTTGGTGGTCGGCCCTCCAAGATATCAGAGAACTGGACCATGAACAGATGATTGTCTCGGTCATGGAAATGGGAGATTCCGCGGTCCCAAACATCTACCAGACCCACTGAGAATTCCTCGTTCACGACCTGATGCCAATACCCTGGGGGTATCACAAGCATCTAACAATGAAAGATAATGACCTATCTCAAAGCAAGCCTGATACCTACATCTCCCGGCACCATGCTGATCATCTTGAAAGACGACGGCAAGCCCTTCATCGAATGCCAATTGGAGAAATGCCTGTACACTGTAGTAAGGCTGATGGGTCGAAGTGTCCACGAGAGATTACGCTGTGTCCAAGACCATATCCTGCCCATTGGAGAGAACTATCTCTCGCTTGGCAGACCCATTCTGAACTCTATCTGAGTTCACAAGGAGAAATACCATCGGGTTCCGCATACTGCACAAGAACAAATCTACATCGGCTGTGTGGTCTAGTGGTATGATTCGCGCTTCGGGTGCGCGAGGTCCCGGGTTCGATTCTCGGCTCAGCCCATATTCCGATCCTTTAGACTTACTAATATATATCTCCATCTTTGCTCTTTCATGATCGCTGAAAGCTATCACCGACTTTTTTCCTTCGATACAATACCTACCATTCAAAGGAATGCTGAGTTTCTCGCGCGCTCGCCATATTCTACAGCGTTGCGAATCCGTTGTCCTCTCGATCGATGTGAGTCACTGAGTAGCTGCCAGACTCCCCGATGAGGAGGCTCGGTCCCTGTCCACGCTCATGTAATGGACACATCTCGAATGGGTAAATCTTATCTACCACTTCCACCTGAACTGATTTCAACTTCGCTCAAGAAGGAAATTCTGAAGCTGCTTAATTTAAGCACTACCGTGTCACGCTGGTAAGCGCATTGGCCGTAGACCACCCATTTCCGCGGACTCCCCGCCTCCATGACCTGCCGCAGCACCAGTTGCACCAGCGAGTGCACAGAAGGCCGCTCACTTCAGACACCTTCCCTTCTGATACCTTCTTCCCACCGCCGCCGCCGAGCTCTACGTAACTGCTAGACCTTCATATCATGAATCGAAAGAACAGAGAGAGAGTTACCCTGGCATCTCCCTCTCCAACACTTCTTCGAGTTTGAGAATCTGCCGAGGACCATCCAAGCGTCTCCAAATGAACCTCCCCACGTTAATTCTGTATTACCACAGACTTCGTCCGGCCTAACTTGCTAGCGATTGTCGAGACAGGTGAGGTTGATTTGAACTCCATCCGAGCCCTCAACGAATCTACGTCACCGCTTGACGTCACACACCCATACAGAGCTACCGCCTACCTATGGGAACAAGCATCGAATATCTTAACGTAAGATTGTCCAGCATGCTTCTGTTGTAGTCATTCGGCACAGGCTTATGCATAACAATCAGTTCATGTAACTACGTTGACTGGAATGGTCCCTGCAAGGCACAACGAGCCCAATATGGCAATCAACTCACGTCAGGGATACACCGGAGAAGGCAGCAAACATCGTACATAGATCGGCGTCTACCATCCGACCCCAGCGTGAGGAGGTCCTGAGAGCTCCGATTCAACAACTGCGACGAGCTAGCGTCGGGTCAATACCTTCACGTCAACTCGAGGCAGCAGTTTACATTTGTCTACAAAGACTCTTTCCGGTATGGTTTCCCGAGGATCCTCATCATCCCATCTTATCTACCAACGACCCAGGTTCGATCCCCAGCACCTCTATCTCACACTACTCTATATGTCTTCGTTTTCCGTCGCCAAGCGCATACTGTACCCGTATAGTACCTGCCAGCCAATCGCTACTGACGAAGACCAATGCCGTCCACGAAAGAGGTCCGAACCATGACTATACTAACATCCTGTTCCCCATTAATCGTCCCTATGAAGGCACTCACTGCTTCCCAGCATCGTCGAATACCATCTCGAACCTCCTCCCGATGATCCCTTCATGGCGATCGGTGGTTGCTACTGCCGACTCTGAGAGATTCCCACAATGAGATGAGCCTCCCAGCCTTCACCTTCTCCTCATCACCCTCACCCTCTTGTTTGATATACTCTCTGAGTGCTGGCTGATTGCCTGCTGATGTATACAT